TAGAATTTTCTCCTGTGTCGTGGGTGCGTTTACAAACATACAAAATCACATACACATGACACCAGGACTCGAAACAACAATCTGTGGATCACACAAAGAATTGTTCCGTGCGGGAATCGAACCCGCGACCGCGCCGACTGTGCAGTCGTACTTGTTGAAAACAAACACAATACCTGAAATTAGGAATTCGTGTCTCCTCTCTTCACGATTACAAATTCAAATTCAACTAGGAGTGGCAGAAGGTAGCACAACAAATTATTTCACCTATCAAACAGGGGCCGTGCATGTGGCCTCAAGTCGTTTAGAAACGTGACTCACGTACCAATGCACTGGGAAGCTGTGACAAACGCGAACCGAATTCTATAGCAACGGGAACCGAGACCTGCTCTTTGGTGGACCACTGCGCTGGTTGGACGTGATGTTTTTTCATAATAAAACTGTTATTGAAAATGCAATGGTGTTTAAGATCATAGTTAGAGAGATGACGACCAAAATTTTTGTCTCATAGCAATACGGCCAAAACCGCCTCAAATCGATAGCTATACGATTTCCTGAACTCGAAAATACCAATATCAGACATTTTCCGCGTAGCATTTGATCTGACCACAAAAACACCAGACAAAAAAAATGTCTCATATTTTGGTTATTTGATGCGAACAAAACCATTTTCAGACGGAAATGTGACCGCATTAAATATTGAGACCGTTTTGAAAATGTTAACAAATTTTACCGATCGTTATCATGGCAATATGTCTGAAAATTGTTGGACATGATAAAATAAGTTGTCCATATGTGCAAAAAATGTATATCAGACAAAATAAGTGTAGCACCTTCTCTATCAGACAACTTTTCGATACTCAGATATTTTTGACACAGCAGAAATGGCCTCCCACGCAGTTGCTACACTTTCGACCGTTACTATACACCTAGTCGGGTTCAGAATCATACAATCTAACGATTTTATAGGGTTTCTGCCGTATTGCTATGAGACATGGTTTTGGTCGTCATCTCTCGTACTATCAGTATAGATCTTTGCATTAATAAAACAAAAAAGTTTACCTGAACATAAATGAAGTGAAATATAAAGCATTTATTTCAATTATTTACTTATTACATGGAAGTCTGTGGTACGGCAGTAAGGACCATAAATATTAGCGAAATGGAAATTAGAAAACCATAGATAAAATTTGACTCAACAGAATAAAGTCACTGCTCCTCTCGCTTTATGATCTATAAATATACGCGCTTATGTCAGTCTGTCTGTCAGTGAACCTATGTAAAATGTTATTTTTTTAAAAAAAACGTTGCCCCACACTAGGATTTTCTCCTGTATCGTGAGTGCGTTTACAAACATACAAGTTCACATACACATCACACCCAGACCTGAAACAGCAATTTGTGGACCACACAAAGAGTTGGTCCGTGCGCGAATCGAACCCGCGACACGTTGTGCAGCAGCCAGTTGCCCAGCCACCACAGGAACCGTGCAGACACATTAATTACCATTAAATGAAACCAATAGTTAACATTCATTCATAAATATAGAAATTGTGAAGTAGTAAGTGCAGATATATCATTGAGTTTAAAATGATGACCTACAATCTGTTCATTAATTTTAATTTATACACCAATCAGAATTAAGCTCAAAACTAAAGTCAAATTGTAAGAAATGCAACCTTTTTCCCTTTGGGACCATCTTATACGTAACCTCTGTAAGAACATCTAAGGAAGGGTCATTACAACTCCTGAAGTGGGATGACCATTGGCATTATTTTGTGTGCCTTTACCTATCATGATAGGCCCCATAGACTTCCATAAGTACCCACTGTAGCACGGATGCCAAAAAAATACACGTTGTTGAGAGAATAATAATAATAATAATAGGAGGTTTAAGACCTTCTCAAGCATGAGAGCGCGGGATCGAAACCTACCAGCGGCCAACCTGTGTGACCTTTTCGTGATTATGTGTACTTTCTAAGATTATTTAAACATCACTTACAAACGGTGCAGGAAAACATCGTGAACAAACTGGGCTCATAATTAGTAATTACAAGTTTAAAATCGACAACCCACATTCAATTTTTCTGATCTTTTAAACCTTCGCTGTACTTCCCGAAGTACAGGGGTACTTCTCGAAATATTTAAAGACCAAAATTAACCAAATCGGTTCAGCCGTTCTCGAGTTTTAACGAGACTAACGAACAGAATTCATTGTTATCTAACTAGCCAATATAATTTTAACA